AAAGAGTTTAAGACACTGACAACAGGCCATTAAACAAAGCACAGAGTCATTCTACACATAGAGCTCTATGTACAGATCATAAACCCAAATAGCAGGCCCTGGCTATAACCTTGGCAAATACAATTCCTTTTGTATTTTAGAAATAGGCAGCCTTGGAGAAGTAAAGTCCAGGGATACTGTATAGGAGGTCAATGTGCTAGAGGTTAGATTATATGACCAGTCAGGATATTTTTCATTTCCAAAGTCTGTGGTTCTTTTTCCAGTTAAAAAGATTGGCTTGTGGATAGTAATTATTGTTCACAAAAATAGTATCTTTTGAAAACCCTCATGTAACTTGGCATTTTTGGTAATTTTCCTGTGACATTTAATAAAAGTATAACTCACATTAATTAATGAACTTATTTCCTTAAAAATGTGGGTGTAACTTGCTTTTTTCGGGATGCTACAAAAACCCATGAGTCTTTACCAGGGTCTGTAATGTTGATTGCTATGTTAGTTATAGTCATTAGAAGGATGATTTGCATATCTTTATATTCTGAAATTTCTTATTTGGCCATGCCGCTGACAGTGTCTAGTCTATTGTGAATTCGTGGTAGTTACAAGGGTTTCCCATGAGTAGGCTGATTCGGGGCCTTCAATGTTCAGGCAGGCACATGATGAACCTCTGTGTATATGGAAAAGCCACCCAAAGTTGTTTGCTTATTTTCTTGTACTTTTAGAACTCAGGGATTGGCACATATTAATTCCTGTATGGCTTGCAGGGACTGATGATGATTAGAGCTTAACAAGCTTGAAGAGTTCCCCAAGTGACTAGAAATGTATTCTAGTGCTAGCTTCCAAATTACTTGTTGCATAGTTTCATATTAACTGCCTAATTCATGGACTTAGAAAATCCTAACAGTTTCCTTCTATATTATGTAAGACATAATGCCGTCAACATTTCTGTTGCCAAAAAAGATGTTAGCCTTTCTTGTCAGTGATTTTGACCACTTTGTCCCTAGGGTCACAGGCCATCAGAGGATTGTTGTATCACTTGGAAATGATTTTGTGGCCTCTCCTGTCTGTCCTCTCTTCCTCCTCAGATATCCACATTGCCACTGTTCTTTCTGCTAAACTTTACCCATTTAGTTTTCGCCAGTTCTTCTAACACTACCTTTCATAATGTGTGAATAAAGAAATAACAATTGAGCTAGTTTTATTAAAAATTTCATGAATAAATAAATAGTTTTCCTTGCAACTGTTTTTTTGTCTTTCCAAATGTTGCTTAAAATGAACCTCTTGGAAGACAAGTGTCAAATAAAGTGGCAGTGCAACTGCCCTGTGATAAATGAATACTTTTCCGCCTTTGAGAAAGGATCTCAGGCAGCCCAGTCTGACCTCACACTTGGCATATAGCCAACACTGGCTTTGAATTCCTGCTCTTCCTCAGTGGTGGGATTCCAAGTGTGCACCCCACATCTAACTTTTAGTAAATACTTTCATAAGTTTTAATTTTTTTATCCTGACAACTTTGTCAATTTATTTATTTATTTATTTATTTATTTATCTTTGGTTTTTCGAGACAGGGTTTCTCTGTGGTTTTGGAGCCTGTCCTGGAACTAGCTCTTGTAGATCAGGCTGGCCTCGAACTCCCAGAGATCCGCCTGCCTCTGCCTCCTGAGTGCTGGGATTAAAGGCGTGCGCCACCACCACCCAGCCTTCGTCAATTTATTATATGCATATTTGTATACATATGAATTGATTTTTCAGCCAATCTCCTTTTATATTTTGCTACTTACTCTTTGGTCTTGGAAATATTTTTTAGGCTCCTGCCTTCAAATTGAGAACATTCTCCCTTTCTTCGTTTCCTGCGTAATTTCACTCCCATTACTCTGAGAAGACTATCTGCATATGTTTAGCTCCTCTTTCCTTGATCCTAGAGCAAATGTCCAGCTTCTTATGGCTTCTGCTTTGATGTTTAATTACCTTTCTTTTTCTGCTGAAATCCTCTGATATTTCCCTCCTCATTAGTTGAAGTATAATCATTTCCTCTCTCTCTCTCATTACCACCAGCTCTTATCCAGTACCTCCTCTTAAATAGTATTTGTCTAGATTTTATGATTCTTGGTGCTTCAATAAAATCTTCCATTCATACCTTACTTTGATTTTCCTTTTGCAGTGCTGAAGATCAAACCCTGGGGTCTTATGCATGCTAGGCAAGCACTCTGCTATCAAATGAAATCAGCTCGATCCCCAACCCACACCCTAACTTTTGACTGTACCTAAGTAACTTCTTTCCTTTATAATCTACATGCTGCCATTACAGAAGTCTTCGTTTTAAAAATCCTGCTTCATTTTCTTGTGTAAGGGTTGAAATACCTGGAATATGGACTAGGAAAGCTTGCCATTATACAATTTTAAAGAGGCTTGATTGAAGTCCACTAAAGGGTGCTATCCTAATTTGAAGCATACCAATAGGCAAAACTTTATCCTGCTTGATTTTGTTATTAACTTCTTTTTATATAAAGAATTTTTCTTCAGATTATATCATTTCCCCTTTTCTTCTTTCCATACCCTCCCATGTACCTCTCCTTGCTTTCTTTCCATTGTCATTTGTATGTATATCTTCAGGGCTGAACATTTGGTTTTCAGGTCATATATATTTTCTTTTAAAATTTCATTTTTAAAAAATTATGTACAGTATATTTTGGCCATATCTTTTCCTCATACAACTCCTCCCAGATTCTCTTCTCATCCCTATATACACAGCTCCATGCACTATCTCTCTCTCTGTCTCTCTCTCTCTTTATATCTCTCTTCCTCTCATAAACAAATGTCAAACAAATGTTTAGATTCGTTTATTATATGTACATGAGTGATTTTCCTGCATGGATGTCTGTGCACCACATGCATGTCTACAGATGGTTGTGAGCCATCATGTGGGTGCTTAGTCCTCTGCAAGAACAGCCAAGTGCTCTTAACCACTGAGCCATCTTTCCAGCCCCCAGAAATCTTTGTTGAGAATTTTTCCCACTATCAAAATCCTTGATCATATTACTGACATTATGCTATATTTGTGACCCTTTTGTTGTATTTTTAGTCCCATATCCACACTTCTATCTTTTCAGCTGAGTCAAATTTCCCTTTCTATATTCTATTCTCCAGTTTGCTTCCCTTCAGGATTGTAATGATTTCCTTTCCCACATATGCCAGCTTACTTATATTTTCAATGAAACCTAATGGGAAATCTGAACTCTTTACAAGTGGATCAAACTAGAAGAAGAGCCAAAAGCCTGGTTTATAATTGTTTTTCATTTTTCCTGAAATTACACATGCTGAATTAAAAAGAAATGCTCATAGAGCAAAACTGTCTCTCAGCCAACCAAAGCTTTCAAAATAGAAAAGTAGATGTGTATATTGGAACTATTCCATAATATAATAAGGTAACACCTTATGCCTTATTGTGCTTGTAGTTAACAAGCCCAGAGATAGGAAACATAGTTACCCTCAGAGACCTTATATTCCAGAGAAGGAGGCACATATTATATATGAAACACTTAGAAAGTAGTTGTAATAACCAACCTACTAAGTAAATACTCAGTTCTGGAGTCTAGAGTTTAAGTGTTATAAGTATTCAGAGAACAGGGGAAACATTATTGCTTGGCATCGCTACTAATGATTTCATAGGGGAAGTGGATCTTAAAGGAAATATGCAATTTGGATTAGCTGGACTTAGCTAGAAGACTTTTGTTAACATTTCTCAGTAAAAAGATAATTGTTCGGCAAAGACCCATGGGGAAAAATTAGCTAGCTATTTAAGAAAACAGAAATTTTTGTTCCAGGAAGTAGTAGGGAATAAAGTCAGACAATTACAAAGGAACTAATTGAGCAAGAACCTTGAATTCAAAATTGAGGAATTAGGAATTGTTGAAAAGAAAATTATTTTACTGAATCATTCTTAATAATGAAAATTTTACCTTCAATTTACATATTTAAGATGTTCTTATACAATACAAAAAAGCTAATATTGAATGTTCCACTGTGTGCCAAGCAAATTGCTTTAAGCTGGTAATTCTTACCTTGTGGCTTATGAACCAGTTGGAGGCTGAATGACCTTTTCACAGGGGTAGCATTAACAAAATTAGTTGTGAAGTAGCAACAAAAATAATGCTCTGGTTGGAGGTCACAACAACATGAGGGAGGATATTAAAGGGTCACAGTGTTAGGAAGGTTGGGAAGCCCTGCTTTAAGTGGTGTTTCCTTTCACCTTTATGGTGCCCTTTACAATGGATTCTTTATTGTCACCCTTATTTTACAAATGAGGGTGTAGAGATGGAAACTACTTTAACAGGCTCAAATTGGAGAAAGTCACAAAGCCAGAATTCATTCTCACATAGTCTTTGGTACTAGATTCTTGTCTAATAAATACACAGCCTTCTTAAAGAACTTCTTAAGTACTGGAAATAAGATATTTGGACAATTGAGCCTCGCATGTTTTTATTGAAAGATTATTTTCTTAAACACATCTTGTTTTGATAAATATTAGTCTTTCCATTACCCCAAATATGTATTTCTTGTTTGGTCTGTGTTATGTCTGGTTAGGTGTGGGTGTTTATATGTGTGTGCATGTGGTTGGAGGCCAGAGGACACCCTTGGGCATTGTTCCTTAGATGTCATCTATTTTTTCCCTTTGAATTGTGGTCTTCTGTTGGTCTGTAACTCACCAGATAGGTTAGGCTGGCTAACCAGTGATCCCCAGGGACCCAACTTGCCTCTGCCTCTCCAGTAGTGGAATTACAAAGTATGAGCCATCATGTATGGCACTTTTAATGTAGGTTCTGAGGATTGGAATCAGGTCCCTGACTGAAGTATCTCCTTATCCTCTCTATATATTGACTTTAACAAAAAGGTCTCAAAAAGACCCTTTAGAGTAGAATTTTTTTTAAAAAACATAAGTTCATAAATTGTCATTTGAATTGATACTTTTTTTTATCTCTTATAAAGTTTTTTTATTATCACAGGGCTTCTAGTTGGGACTCTTGATTCTGTCTTAGACTCTACTGCCAAAGTGGCTCCATTTCGCATCCTACACCAGACACCAGATTCTCAAGTTTACTTGTCAATTGCATGTGGTAAGTATGATTGTTTAAAAAGCCTTACAGTTCAAATATAAGCAAGATACTAAGATAATTATAGCAGAACTCAGTGAGCTTCAAATTCCAAATTGAAGAGTTCATAATTACAGAAATGAAAATACTTTTGCTTGGGCTGGAGAGATGGCTCAGCGGTTAAGAGCATTGCCTGCTCTTCCAAAGGTCCTGAGTTCAATTCCCAGCAACCACATGGTGGCTCACAAACATCTGTAATGAGGTCTGGTGCCCTCTTCTGGCCTGCAGGCATACACACAGACAGAATATTGTATACATAATAAATAAATAAATATTTTTTTTTAAAAAAAGAAAATACTTTTGCTAAAACATTCTTATTAATGAAGATTGTAATCTTATTTAAATGTATAAGATATTCATAAAAAAAGATATTCATATCTAAAAACAAAATCAACTAATATTGAATGTCGCTGTATACTAAGCATTGTTACAAGTGCTTTGTATGTAGGAAAACTGAATATTCAAATTTCCTTATACTCCTCAGTTGTTTTAAGATTTGGAAGCAAGTTAAATGCAACTGTTCTTTGTGAGACTAGCAGTCCCACTTCCCTTTAAGAATGATTACAGGTTATTAGGAAATTAAAAGGCTAGTGAGCAGGCATTGGTTACTGTGACTGCCACCTGACTCCTTTATAAACTTAGTAATTCTTTACCAAACTGCTGGGAAGATTGGACCTTCCCCATTAAATACCAGTGTTCTTTCTTCTTCTAATAGTAACTGAGATAAGGAGAACATGGTTATGGTAAGCCCAAAACTTAAAGATTCTTCCCTGAAAAAGTAGAAGTCTGACATTTGAATTTTTTATTTACATACCTGATGTTTCTCAAAACTTTGAAATATAACTTTGAAATAGAAAGAATGATTTGCAGGTACAGCTACATTATCATTCATACCCCGGTGGTCCAGAGCTTTCCACAGAGTGTATTGTGGGTAGCGTGGGAAAGAGATTATGATGAGTCTTCCTAATAATACAAATCAGAATAATTTTAACTCATATGCAATATTTGTCTTTCATTTCTATGTCATTTCATTTCCATTGTAATATTGAACAAAACTAGAATATCATATTTATGGTCTTTTTAAATATTGACTGATCTCTTCTTTTCTCCTCCCCTCTTTTCTAAAGAGTGTGTGTGTGTGTTTGAAAAAATACACATGAATTTGTAGACACGTCATGTTTGTGAACATACAGCATACAATTACATTTATTAGGATGTGTAACTATGAAAGAAATTTCCCTCTATATTTCCTTTAGTCATCCTGCTAAGTCTGTTCTCCTAACTCTTTTTTTTTTTTTTTCTGATTCTTTTTTTAAATAATTTTTTTTATTAAGAAAAGAAGAAAAAAAAACATAAACAAAAAACAAGTTTCCACCTCCTCCCAGCCTCCCATTTCCCTCCCCCTCCTCCCACCCTTCTCCCCCTCCTCCCACCCTTCTACCCCTCCCCCCACTCCTCTCCCCCTCCCTCTCCAGTCCACAGAGCAGTCCAGGTTCCCTGCCCTGTGGTAAGTCCTAGGTCCTCCCCCCTCCGTCCATATCTAGGAAGGTGAACATCCAAACTGGCTAGGCTTCCACAAAGCAGGCCAATCTCACTCATGAATATCGACGCAAAAATCCTCAACAAAATACTGGCAAATCGAATCCAAGAACACATCCGAAAAATTATCCATTATGATCAAGTAGGCTTCATTCCTGAGATGCAGGGCTGGTTCAACATACGAAAATCTATCAATGTAATCCAGCATATAAATAAACTGAAAGAAAAAAACCATATGATCATTTCATTAGATGCTGAAAAAGCATTTGACAAAATTCAACATCCATTTATGTTAAAAGTCTTGGAGAGATTAGGGATACAAGGGTCATACCTAAATATAATAAAAGCTATATACAGCAAGCCGACAGCTAACATCAAATTAAACGGAGAGAAACTCAAAGCCATCCCACTTAACTCAGGAACACGACAAGGCTGTCCACTCTCCCCATACCTCTTCAATATAGTGCTTGAAGTTCTAGCAATAGCAATAAGACAACATAATGGAATCAAGGGGATTCGAATTGGAAAGGAAGAAGTTAAACTTTCGTTATTTGCAGATGATATGATAGTGTACATAAGCGACCCCCAAAACTCCACCAAAGAACTCCTACAGCTGATAAACAGCTTTAGTAATGTGGCAGGATACAAGATCATCTCCTAACTCTTTTAAATTACATTCTAGCAAAACTAAATGCAGATAAGATTAAGAGAATTTTATAACCTCAGTTCTGAAACTTATTAGTCAAGATGGTTTTGAGAAGTTTTTTCTACTTTAAAAAAGTAAAATCTTGCTATTCTTGCAGATGAAACTGATATATAAGTATAATTCTTATTCATAAGATGAATAAATATCTAACTGGATTATAGAAAATGAACAATTTTGCAGTGTCAATAAAATTTTACTGTGATCCTCTCTATATCATGAGAACATTCTGTGCAGTCAAGGTTATTTCTTTTTAATGATATCTGTATAATCCATATTTCCAGAAAGATTTTTAAAGATATTTGGTAATAAGAGAAGTGGGGCTGGATAATGAAAGTTTCTCCAAGTGAAAGCAAACCTAGCAATAAGAATATTTAATATAACCCTCAATAAGACAGCTAAGACTGACGCTGGTGCAATAGGTCTTATGGTTTAATATTGCCACAAGGTTTCTGACTTTCATCATGCAATGTCTGTAACTTTGCTGCGTGTTTTAGCAAATTCACTGGCTCTTACCAAAGGGTTTGTATGTTTAGTAACCATAGTAAAGAGTCCACATTTGTACAGCAATGTGAAGGACTGTCACATGCTTACTATTTTCAGTCTTGAAGAATTTAGACACAATGCTAGTAGTTGTATTTGACCAAGGGGTAAAATGTGAGTGTGTGTGTGTATCTGTGTTTCCTACATGTTTCTTTGTAAAGATAATGGTTTCTTCTGGGCACTAATTACTGTTATCTTATTTTCAGAATTTTTATATTTCCTTATGAGTTATTTTTCTCCCATTTCATTAAGTATTATATTTTTCTATTTCTAATAAATTTAACTCTATTGTTTGTGCTCATATATTCCTATGAAATAGAGAATAAATATATTAATTTCTATATAGCCATCTTTTGTGAAAGTGACCAAGTAGTTTCATTTCCTTTTAAACTGAATTTGTTTGAATATAAAGAGAAGGTTTATTAAGGCGTTTCCCTTGAATCATTTTTCTCTATATTATTAATCAGGGGCCAACAGAGAAGAAATAACAAAACATTGGGACTGGTTGGAACAAAATATAATGAAGACTTTATCAGTGTTTGATTCAAATGAAGATATTACTAATTTTGTACAAGGCAAAATAAGAGTAAGTGGAATGGACGGGTGAATGAAGAAGATGTGGTATATATTCACAGTGGAGCTTTATTATCCCATAAAGAAGAAATTATATAATTTGTAGACAGTGTGTAGAATTGAATATAACTATGTTAAGCAAAAAAACCTAGTCTCAAAGTCAAGTAGCCCGTGTTTCTTTCATATGCAGAATTTAAATTCTACATCACTCACACAAAATGAAGGATGCTACTATTTGGAGGAAGAAGGGGAACTAATGGGAACAGAGAGAAATGGGGATAAAATGAAAGACAAAAATTACATGTTTCTCTCATACACAGATTTAAATATATATTAAAATTTAGATTATAGAAATAGAAATACCATCAAACAACAAATATTGCATGTTTTCCTCATGCACAAATTTAAATATGTATTAAAATCTACATCATATACATGTGTATATATGACATTGAAATTGGGAGTAAGAAGGGATCTGTGGGAATGGAGATAGCAGGGGACAAGAGAGGGTGATGGGCGTGAATTATGTGCAAAGTACAATGATGTGCATTTATGGAAATGTCATAATTAAACCCACAGGATTTCTCACTGTAACAGTCCTGGCTGTCCTGGAACTAGCTCTTGTAGACCAGGCTGGACTAGAACTCACAGAGATCTACCTCTGCCTCCCAAGTGCTAGGTTTAAAGGCGTGTGCCACCACTGCTGGCTTTTTATATATTTCTTAAACAATAAGAAATTTTGAAAATTAACTTACCTTTAGTTTCATCATTACTTAGTTGGTATGAGTTCTGAGCCCTCAAATAAAATGTGCATGATTCCAAAAGAGAATAAGTGATATGGATGTATTCTGTAAATGGAGCCCTAAAATGGAGTCTTCTTCAGGAAAGATTGGGGTGACATAGAAGGTCATCCTTTTACTGGCACTTTTTATGCCCTTCAGAAGCACATGTCTGGATGCCAGGATAAGTGCTTCAAGAAATTGTGCAATGGCTTGGTTTTGGTGCTCTCGTGAACATTCCCAGCGGTGTTTTCATTTCACTGTCGCTTAAATAGGATTTTGAACAAAGCTTTTGTTTATTCAGAAGATGTTTGACACCTACATTTGTGATGGCTTCTTATAAAGGAAAAAACACTGCTACAAAACTAAAGACAATGTGCTCACCTCTATCCTAAGAGAAGTATGCATATGCAGACATGTATACATACAACCTATATATCCATAGAGATCTATTTGATCAATACCTAAAATGAGAAACTTAAAATCTATACTTAAATATGAAAAAGATTTTTGTTGCTAGGTGATGGTAAGTTTTCTGAAGCTATTTTATCTCTTCCAGGGACTAATTGCTGAAGAGGGAAAAGATTCTTTTGCTAAAGAAGATGATCCTGAGAAATTTCGAGAAGCTCTTTTGAAATTTGAAAAATCTTTTGGTTTACCAGAACAGGAAAAATTAGTAACGTATTATTCCTGCAGTTATTGGAAAGGACGGGTTCCTTGTCAGGGTTGGCTCTATCTAAGTACCAACTTTCTGAGTTTCTATTCTTTCTTGCTAGGATCAGAAAGTAAGTGTCTGTTTATTGCTTATTATGGCTTTCAATTTTCTCAATGACCTATCAACTCAGTGGTGTTAAGTTCTGTGTACAGTAATGAGATTGATATTGAAAGTAATTAAATTATATGTTCACATCAAAGAGGTTTCAACCACAGAAAGAATTTAAGAATCTCTATGTAACACAGGGAACAATTAAAATGTGGATAGAAAATCTTAGACATAAATTGAGTAGCAGATGAATTTTAAGCGATAAGAAACTAGCATATAACCACTTCTATCTTCTTAGAAGCTGCCTGCTTGCTTTCATATGTGTTTTAATTCTTGTTTTAAACATACAACATAAAGTAAGCCATTGCACCTCCTGATCTACATATCATTTTGCAGCCACAAAGGATCAAATGGTATTATTTATAGCATATGTATAACTTTTACATCAGTGGTTATATAATGAGATGATTATATATAAAGAAACAGATTTAAATGTCACATCAAAATCTTTTTCTAATTCTTTAAAATGGTATCTGTCCCAAGTATTGGATACATAACTCAGTGGTAGCACATGTCTGGCATGCATAAGGCCTTGGGTTCAATCCCAGCACCATTAAAAAGAAAAATCAAAAAGTCAAGAATATATACCTGTTTTTTTTTTTTTTTTTTTTTTTGGTTTTTCGAGACAGGGTTTCTCTGTGGCTTTGGAGCCTGTCCTGGAACTAGCTCTGTAGACCAGGCTGGTCTCGAACTCACAGAGATCCGCCTACCTCTGCCTCCCGAGTGCTGGGATTAAAGGCGTGCGCCACCATCGCCCGGCTATATACCTGTTTTTTAGAATCACTGATTATTATATATTTATTACAATGCTTCAAAATCTTAATTAACTTTGACTTATAAAGTACTGTATTATTTTTCCAGTGGTCATGATATAAGAACTGAATTATGAACATAAATCAATATTGAAAATGTAATTGCACTTACTTACAAATCTTATTTGCAGTTAAACTCATTATCTCCTGGGACGCAGTCTCAAAACTAGAAAAGACTTCAACTGTTATACTAACAGAGAGTATTCATGTATGTTCCCAAGGAGAGAATCACTATTTTTCAATGTTTTTGCACATTAATGAAACATACCTTCTTATGGAACAACTGGCAAACTATGCCATAAAGAGACTTTTTGATAAAGAAACATTTGATAATGACCCAGTCCTTGATGATCCTCTACAAATTACCAAAAGGTATTTCAATATTAATATTTACTTCTCTTTTCATCTCTCATTTGTTGGGGATATGGGGGAGTCATGCATGCCCAGGCATAGGGACAAAGGTCAGAGGATAAGTTGCAGAAGTCAGTTCTCTTCCTTCCACAGTATGGTTTGTGGGGATCAAGCTCAGCTCCTCAGCCTTGACAGCAAGCACCTATACTCTCTGAGCCTTTTCACAAGCCCCAATATTTACATTTTATAGTATTGTTTGGCTGTAAGAATGGTTTAACAATGATTAACATTAAAAGTTAAATGCTCTATATTATATGATAGTTTTTTCTTTGGCATTGATCATTGATGTTTATATTTGTAAGTTTATTTGAATACATTTCAGAACTACTCCTCCTCCGTGAAATTTAATTCTAAGATATAATGGAAGTTAGGTTTGGAAATTATTTTCTTAATTAAATAGGATTTATATTAGAGTATGTCTTCGTTCTGATTTCTGTTGCTGTGATGAATCACCATGACCAAAGCAACTTGGGGAGGAAAGGGTTCGTCTTAAGCTTCTTTATCTCTGTTCATCATTGAAGGAAGTTAGGACTTCTCAAACACACGGCCAGAGCCCGGAGGCAGGAGCTAATGCAGAGTCTGTGGAGGGATGCTGCTTACTGGCTTGTTCTCCATGGTTTGCTCAGCCTGCTTTCTTATAGAACCCAGGACTACAGCCCAGGGATGGCACCACCCACTATGGGCTGGGCCCTCCCCCATCATTCACTAACTAAGAAAATGCCAGGCAGTGATGGTGCAAGCCTTTAATCTCAGCACTTGGGAAGCAGAGGCAAAGTGAGTTCCAGGACAGCAGGGGCTACACAGAGAAACCCTGTCTCAGAAAAAATAAAGGAAAGGAAAGGAAGGAGGGAGGAAAGGAGGGAGAAAGGTAGGAATTAAGGAAGGAAATGCCTCACAGGCTTGTGTTCAGCCTGATCTCATGGAGGCAGTTTCTCAACTGAGGCTCCTTCCTCTGATGACTTAGCTGTGTCAAGTTGACTAGTGAGCACAAGGTAATTTCCAAAATGTAGAGAGTTTAATGTGGTTAGGTAACCCTAAATTTGTCTGTTTGTAGTCTAGATAATTTAAGTTCTAGAGTAGTTAAGCATATTGTTTAAATTAATTTAGTGATACTATTAACATTTTTTCTGTAGAGACAACTCCCCTTCAGACTGGAGAAGTCTCTTAAAGTTCCCATTTCTCAGAGTCTTTGTTTCCTTCTGTCATTTCTTCCTCTGTGGGCCCTTATTAGGAATGAATGAAATGTGTGGTGGTTAAATATAAAAGAACTACACAAGTACTAATCATTATTAGTGCCTACATCAGAAGTATCTGACTAGTGGGAATGGGGGCATGTGTATCTAGTCCCGGTACTTGGAAGGCTGAGGCAGGAAGGTCATTAGTTCTGGGTCAGCCTGAACTCTACAGGGAGGCCTTATCCTCCAGGAGGAAAAAGACTGACTGATCATTGTTCATCATTATATTCAGTTTGCTGAAAGTGGACAGAGCCCTTTCGTCTACTCAACACTTTGACAGTTGACTGAAAGGGACTTGGCAAAGGGGAGGAGGAAAGAAAAGCATTCAGAATTAGCTAGTGAAAGTCGTTTGGGGCAAGGAAGGTGAGGATATAGCCTGGGAAAGTTTAAGAGAAACCTAATCCAGAGCCTTTGGATAGACTAGACTAAGTGATGCGGAGGTTTGTCATATACTAACTAGGCCCGATTGGGTAGCTAGTCATTTCTCACACAGTTCCTAAACTATTCCCAGCATTCAGATGCAGAAAGATTACTTGATGAGTCTGTAAGCTGAAGTTTTATACTTTACCAAAGTTAGGTAGGTCTCTGCATGTTTTACAAATGGAACTCTTTCATTGAGAATTTAAGGCTCAGGGCTGGAGGGATGACTCAGAAGTTAAGAACACCAGCTCCTCTTGCAGAGGCCTGGGGTTTGATTCTCAGCAACCATATAGTGGCTCATAGTTGCCTGTAGCTCCTTTTCCAGGAGATCTGATTCCTTCTTCTGACCTCCATGGGGACTAGGTACACAAGTGGCAAACAGACATCCACGGAGACAAAACATTCATACAATAAAAATAAATATACGATTTTTTTTAAAAGAAAGGGCTTAAGGCTGGAGAGATGGCTTAGTGGTTCAGAGCACTTAACTGCTCTTGCAGAGGACCCAGGTTCAGTTCCTAACACCCACATCAGGTGACTCATATCCACTTGTGTCTCCAGCCAAGGGATCTGCCATGCCCTGGCCTCAAACATCTACATGCACATGCTCCAAATAAACTCATACGGGCATACCCACATTCACAAACAAACTCAATTTAATGATCCACTTCATATTGCATTAATGTTAGGCATTTGCTTTTGTAACGTTTTTCCTCGATTGACCAGGAGAAACGTTCTTTTAAAAAGTATTTTCTTCTCCTTCACAGGACCCCACCCCTAGGTTAAGAAACACAAGTAATTAATGACTGCTAAGAAAGGGAGAGCTAGTTTTCCCCGGGGATGAGCTCCTGATTGGTTCACTAATACCAAGTGACCAGCCCTAAAATCATATGCGTGCAAGTAATACTAGACAGATGCAGGAAGTTGTATTTATTTATTTTTTCATTCATATATATTAATATATGATATATAATAAGGAACATATATATAATAAAAAAGGGGCCATGAATTTGAGAGGTTGATGGGAAAGGGTGGGGCTGGAGGGAGGGGCGATATAATATTTTAATTAAATATAAAAATAGGGGACTGGAGAGATGGCTCAACAGTTAAGAATACTGACTGCTCTTCCAGAAGACTTGGGCTCAATTTACAGCCCCTACATAGTGGTTCACAACCATCTGTAACCCCAGTCCCAGGGGATTCCAACACCCTCTGGCCTCTTCAGTACTGTGTACACATGATACACTGGTTCATAGGCAAAACCCCCATACACGTAAAGGTAAATAAAAAGGGGAAAGAATCCAAAATTAAAAAAAAAACTTTTAAAAAGTAAATTTGTTTACCTTACATGTCAATGAATTGTCCATTACCAAGTCTTTATTTAAATGAGCATTTTGAAGGCCACATATATCTAAATCTCTTTTTCTGGTCAGTGAAGAATAAACATCTTCCTGAAGAAGTCCTCAGATCCCATTTGTAATAGAGCATCTTTATTGCTTCCGTTTGCTGTACAAGTAAGTGCTCTATAGTGGGAACAATCTGCAAGCACAAGTGCAAGCATTTAGTGTAGATCCATTCATGCGTTTTTAATAAAATCAACTTGAAAATGTTTGCAGAAATAGGGCTTAACACAGCAGACTCCTTTTCCTTTTATAATAACGTGTCACAGAAACTTTTCTATACACATGAATAGACTGTGTGATAAATCATCCATTTAGTAATAGTGAAATAACCCACCAAATTCCAACTTAAGTAGAGTAAAACTTTGGGTTTCTGGTTATATATATCAGGATTAATTTGTTAGACATGATAAAGTACTACACCTTCAAACAGTAGGTGCAGGAAGGCTGAATTTAGTTTCCATTTAGCTGGCTTTGAGTTAGGCATAATTTTCTTACTACCCCAGATGGCATTGCTGCTTAGCACAAGGTATTTAGTGCTCCTGGAAAAATCATGCTGTTTAGAGCAACAGCTTCGTATTCATCTATTTATCTGTCAGTTAACAAGGTTCATCTTTGTTTACCAACTCATGTCCCATGCCCAGCATGGTGCAGGCAGTGTTGTTCTGTTCTGCTCCAATCTTGGATGCTTTAAACAATCTTGCAAAATTCTGCCTAACTGAATCTTGATGTTCCGTTTTATACTCTGCTTTTCCTCTTTGAACTTTAATGCCACCAATTTCAATTACCTAATCTTATTTATATAACTGCAGGATTTTCTAATAACCATATATGTAAATTACTGTATTCCAAGGTTGGTTTTCACCATTATTAGTGTTATAATACTGGTCCTTCAGAAAATCACCCCTAACAGATTATTTTGAGACCTATAGTTCTCTAACTTTTGTGCGTCTTAATTTATGAAAATGAAATTAAAAAAAAACAATAAATGAAATGATCAGGAATCTGTTATTTTATTTTTCCATATAAGAATTTATTCAAGAACATACTACTTGATGTTTAATCTTTATGCTTTATGGTTTCTATTGATTAAATCAATATGGATATGTGTATACTTTAGAATTCATCATTTGAGCTTTCTTTCCCATTTCTCTTTCCTACAGAGGTTTGGAATATCGGGCCCACAGTGAGCAATTCAAAGCTTTTTTTAGGCTACCCAAAGAAGAAACTTTGAAAGAAGTACATGAATGTTTCTTATGGGTACCATTCAGCCACTTCAGTACTCATGGAAATATGTGCATTTCAGAAAACTACATCTGCTTTGCTAGCCAGGATGGGAATCTATGTAGCGTAATCATTCCATTACGAGAGGTAATATAAATTTTGGTGCATCTTAAGTTTGTAATTCATGGCATACCCTTTCATTCTGTGAATTAGCAAAAGGCCCAGTAAATGTGTCCTCTTAGCAATGTACAATAATCATTGAAGTTCAAAATTACTTTTCAAGTTAAAAACACTAGCATGTGAGATACTTTTAGTTTCCTTTCAGTAAAGCTTTGCCAAAAGTGAAAGTGGGAAAAAATTTGAAAGCAGAGAAAGGTTTAGAGTGGCACAAAATAAACTTGATCATTCTGACCCTTAAGATAAGATCACCAAAATTTAGACTGTCACATTTGATGTACTTGTTTAGAAAGAATGGATTTGGAGACTTTCATGACAGTGAAAAATCAGTACTCATCACTGATTGTTTTGTCCATGTTGTCAATTTTAAAGGACATATTACTTTAGCTTTTTCTTTGAAAGGTAAAATAACTTGAAATGAGAAGATTTGTATCATCATTAGCACAGATGTCTCTCTGAGTAAGTCATACCCCAGACCAAAACTTTCAGCCATGACAGAGAAAGCCAAACACATACTATCTGAATGTGTCAGCACTGGGAGAAAATGTGATTCACTTATTTATCTTCTTACTCCCCAGGTCTTAGCTGTAGATAAAACTGACGACTCCAACAGATCCGTCATCATCAGCATCAAAGGAAAGACAGCTTTTCGTTTCAGTGAGGTTAAAGACTTTGAACAACTGGTGGCAAAACTCAGGCTCAAGTGCCGAGCAGCTTCAAGTCGATGTGACCTTAGTACAGAGGTGATTTCTATAGCCATCACAGAATTTTGCAGAAAAGCTTGTGTTTACAATAGTCTAGTCTTTCAAAAAGGAATTTCTAGTAATTGTTCTATTTGTACCTTTATTTCTTAATATAAAAGCCTAAATCTAAAGAAATTATATACTCTATACTATGCACAGAAGTAAAAATGAAGGACTTTAACGTGTTTAGGAACTAATACTTAAGAAATGCTATTAATTTGATCTTCCTACTGTACATGCTGTTTTTCAGTAAGCACAACTTATATGTTCTTCCAACTTGACTTTTAACCCAGTCTATGTTTGGAGAATATAACAGGACCTTACTGGGGCTGAAGAGATGGCTCAGTGGTTAAGAGTACTGGCTGCTCTTATGGTGGACCTTGATTCACTTCCCAGCCCCCACACTGGTTCTGTCAGAACCGCCTGTTACTTCTGTTCCAGGGGAACTGGTGATTTCTTCTGGTCTCTGAAGTTATTGAATGCACATGGTGCACATACATAATATGCAGGCAAAACACCCATCTACATAAAGTGAAAAATTGAAAATTTCCTCTTATTACTACAGAAATGCAATTTTAAACCATAATTAATATTTTAATGCCTAAATGTTTAGCTTTACCAACAGAATTTGATTCTAGGAAGAACAGTGGCATAGTCATTTACTAGCAAAGTATTACGGGAGGGGGATGATGAGATGGCTTCGCAGGTACAGGGACTTGCCACACAAGTCTGACAAATATGATTCTTAGACTCTAAGGATGAAAGAGGAGAACTAACTCCACACACACAAACACAAGAATAAGTCGATAAAATAATTTTTAAACACAGAATGATTTTTCTATGAGTTTTAAATTATAAAAATATAGCGATGATAAATACTCTGAACAAAGAGTAGTTAGGACCTGATCTTTAATGTCTTTCCAGGAAAGGTAGACTGATTGAATTCAAATGAATTTTCAATTCAGAATCCAGGAGCTCTGTGTTTTTACATATTTATAAAATGTATCGAATTGAACCATATATTTTAATTAAGGATTCAAAGGTAAATAATTAAAATTGACTTTGATGGTTATATTACTTTATTTAGATTGACATAGAGAGCCCTTTCTCACTGTAGAGTGAAGACTGAAAATATGCCAGTTCATTTATAGTGCAGTATTGGTAGATGAAGCCTTCCCTCCAGGAAACCATGCTGTTTTCATTTATGTCATCTTAGTACCAGGTGCTGAATCCTCATGTAGGCCACGAAGAATTTTTATTGCCCATACTTTCACATAGTTTTTTTCAAATTTCCTTATCCAGAATACTCCTTAGCTTGATGTGAAAACACAAATGAAATCTAATCAGTCTTGATAATTACTTTAATACTCTCATATAATTGCTTATATAAAATTTGTTATGTTCTTACTCCTTCAGATTTAATCTGTGTTAGATCCAGTATTCTGAGTATTCTTCCCTTTTCTTTAATGTATTTGCCTCTGTAATGTGGGAAGAACTGCAATTTTTTTCTTGGAGGCCTCACATTTCTCTGATAGCTGAGTATCTGCCATTGTCAAGGAAAGATTTTGTTTCAAAATGTTTCCCATTTCTCTGGATACATCAGAATGCTAAGGATTTCTAGTTTTTCTTATCCGTTTTAGAGCCTTTGGTATAGATACATTCAGAAAGCTTACTAATCATTATAGCAGTTTGCATGGAAGCATGATTTTGAATTCTCATATTTTATTTTCGTTGAATTTTAAGTCTCTCTGTCTCTCTCTCTCTCTGTCTCTCTCTCTCTCTGTCTCTCTCTCTGTCTCTGTCTCTCTCTCTCTCTCTCTGTGTGTGTGTGTGTGTGTATACTCTTGCATGAACACACATGTCTTAGTGTTCATGTGGCTATCATAGGTCAACTTGTGGGAGTCACTTCTTTCCTTCCACCATATTGGTCCTGGTGATTGAACTCAGGTCATCAACCTTGGGAATAGGTACCTTTACCTGCTAAGCCACTTCACCAGCTCAGAACTGAAGGTTTTCATCTGAGCAGTGATGAAGAATTTTGACCCATTTTAGTATTATCTGTATATCTCTAGCTATATCTATATTCATCAAAAATTAGTAAAGAGAAAGCCTTTTAAAATAAGAGATAGGGGCTAGAGACATATCTCAGAGGTAGACTACTTGTTTAGAATGGGTAATATCCAGCATTAAATGCCTAGCACTTTTTAAAAAAAGCCAGTGCAATTTGATTTCTAAATAACAAAAGTTGTTGCTTCATTCTTCTATAGCTATGATCAACTTACCTAAACAATGATAAAAATGCATTGTGTAATTTTAATAAATCCAATGATTTTTATACTACAAAACTCTTAAAAATCTAAATCCCAGAGTCTAAATCAACAAATCTAAATCTCAGTATAGAAAGGACTGCAGGAAGCTTGTCCTTTATCATATGAGGACATAAATGCCACCAAAAGTAATAGGGATTATGCATAAGCACCAGCTCTGTCCAAATTTTAACTAGGTATCAATTACAATGTTCCATGGTTTCGTAAGTTACACTAAAACCTGGGTGCATGAACAGGTTTTATAAAATTCTGACCAACTGCTTAAAAATATATTAGTCTTGTTTTTGAGGTGTACAGTAAAGAAATATTACTAAATTTTTTTTTTTTTTTGGTTTTTCCAGACAGGGTTTCTCTGTGGTTTTGGAGCCTGTCCTGGAACTAGCTCTTGTAGACCAGGCTGGTCTCGAACTCACAGAGATCCGCCTGCCTCTGCCTCCCGAGTGCTGGGATTAAAGGCGTGCGCCACCACCGCCCGGCAAAATATTACTAAATTTTGAAGCCACTAAATATGAGAAAATTTGACTCTTTTAGCTTAGCTTGGGGCTAGACTAGAAAGCACTGCTGGAGCTCCTTTTAAATTGCATTACAAATTAATCCTGACTATAGAACAGTGGTCCTCAGCCTATAGGTCTCAACCCCTTTGGGGGATCGAATGCCCCTTTCACAGGCCTCACATAATAGACCATCAGAAAACATAGATATTTACATTAAAATTCATAACCGTAGCAAAATTACAGGCATGAAATAGCAACAAAAGTAACTTTATGGTTGGCGGTCACCACGGCATGAGGAAATGTATTACAAGGGTTATAGCATTAGGAAGGTTGAGAACATCTGCTCTAGAATATCAAGAAATGTCGAACTGGTTTTATGCCTTACTGTGTTTAGATAGGCAAATTTCAACAAATTATCAAGGCATATGTAAATGTATCTAACTGGTGCTTGATTTTGCTTTAATTTCTATGTTTTTAATTATAAGTATAGAGTTCCAGGAACACTTATTCTTGATAGAATGATATATTGCCTAATTCTAGAATTGCAAATAAAAGGTGATAGAGCTGGAACCTGTAATCCCAGCTACTGGGAGGATAAAGCAAAAAAAAAAAAGATTGCAAGTTTAAGCAGACCCTATGTAACTAAGGGAGACCCTGTTTAAGAATTAAAAAAACTAAAAATGACTAGGAATGTGTGTGTCTCAGTATTACTGCACTTATTTAGCATGTATATATCCCTGGATTCAATCCATATTTAAAAGACAAGGGAGGTTTCTTTTCACCAAGGACATTTCACCACGGACTATTATTAATACATTTTATTATTTGAGGACTTCATACATGCGTAGAATGTATTTTGATATATTCACCCTTACTCCTTGTTACTCCTCTCAAATCACTTCCCAACCCCTCCCAACTTCACGTTTTTTCTTTTTTTAAAGAACTACTGAATTCAGTTTGTGCTGCCCATATATGCATGGGTGTGGAGTCATCAGCACAAAGAAGCATTTTTGATGAGGAATGAGAGTTGTACTAATGTATAGCTATAAGAATATGTGTTTAGAGGCAACTTCATATTATATCATTCATTTAGCCAAATAATAGTACTAGGTTCATGCTGGGACCTATGCGCTTCCCCAGCCATGGGTTCTTTGTCACATTTACAGTGCTAGCCATATGTTTCTTCTTTTGGAGTGGGCCTTGAATCCCATCAGAAAGCAGTTGATCACCCCTGTGATATTTGCGCCAATATTGGACCCATCAGTGTATATTACTAGGCCACTCACAGGGGTCACAGCTAGATAAAACTGTTGATATATTTCTCCCTCAGCATCCTGAAGAGCAGCACCTTTTGGTACTATGCAAGGTACCCAGTAGGGGGAATTCTCCCTAGGCAGTACTAGCTTAATTCTGCGTGTCCATGAGCACAGTGTGTGGTGCTCAGGAGCAGCAGCCTTAGCATCAGGTAGCCTGTACGTTTAGGTGTTTCTAGGATAACTTAGGAAAGTAGCCTGGTACTGGGCTGTTTATTTGAAACCCATGGCTTCTGAGAAGAACGTTTTCCCTTGTGCTGAGTAACTCCAAGGTGTGTGTGTGTGTATGTGTGTGTGTGTGTGTGTGTGTGTGTATACCCTCTCATCACCTCTTCCATTTAATATCACCTGTGTTCTACTATTGTTTCCCCGAAGACAGAAATAGTAGTTAAACCCACATAACTGATTTTTGCTTACCTTAAGAATAAGGCAATACTAGCTAGAGACATCCCTCTTTAGGTAAAGGCACTTGCCACCACATCTGACACCCTGATTTTGATCCCTGGTGGAAAAGGAAAATTGAGTCCAGCAAGTTGTCCTTTGACACAGACACACACACAGACACTCCCCCCCCCCCCCTCTCTCTCTCTCTCTCTCTCTCTCTATATATATATATATATATATATATATATAATTTTGTTAAAGAATAAAAATGTGTGTTTACTGTGGCTACAATTAAAAATAGGTATATAGATTAATGTCTGAGTTAGGAAACCAGAAATTTTGTTAGAAATATAATTAGCAACCTATTTTAAATTATGGAGTATGCATGGGATGCCATTTACTGTAAGCTTCTAGTATTTGAAAGAACTGCTTCTCTGTAAATTTTGTCTTTTTAAATTTATAGCTCAACTCTGTCTCCCAAT